GAGTAAACATCGCGGAAAATGCATCAAAAAGCGTGTGGAAATCATTGGAAAATTCATGGGAGAGAGAGAGCGTAAAAGAGAAAATAAAGTGAGCCACTACAAAATATGAGCAATAGCGCTGCACCGTATGAATATGAGTATTATTGTGATAATTATACCACAGTGGTGGCTAGTAATATTAGTTCACTGATGATTCGTTAATTGAATATGTATTCAGCATTATCATGGGTTCACTTTTCGCTTCCGTATATTCGGTCGAACTTGTTTTTGGGCGAAACTTATGATTAGGCTGATTTTGTTGTATTTTTGAATCGTCTGAATATATGTACATGCGTACGTATGTACACTAGGGTGGGAGAGAGAAAGTAGCAATTTTGAAGAAATTCGATTCCTCTGTTCCAGTTAATAAATTCTGATAAAGTATAAACATAAAAAAAAATTTAAAAATTATACCGTTCTCCCAAAAAGAAAAAATGCACATGACAGAATTGAAATGGTGTTACATTCTTAGAGACATTAAAGTTGAGTGTAAAGTGCAAGTTTCGACTTGAGTTGATTTTTAATAATTTTTTTGTTTTCGGTGCTAGGCATATTATTTCATACATATATAGTAGACTCGAGATTTTCTTTATACGGAATGCCTAGCTCTTTCAGGTAGATAGCATTGGTCTCAACAACCGCTATGTTTATTTTGCCTGTACCAAAATTGATTTGAAAGCCAAATGTATGGGTCTGGTGGTAAGCGAAAATAAGATAAGGTATTTCCTGTCATCCAGGGGCAGCCTTCTTCAAACACATTTTCGAAATAAAGCTTATTTAAGCCTTTTTCGTTTGGCATCCATTTAAAAAGGTTTCACTTGTAAATTAATTGATTTGAATTTCTAAACAAGTTTCAGCCCCCTTCTGAAATATTTCCGGAATAAAGCTGAAAAAAAATCTCACGCGTTTTTTGTTCATATACATACATATGTACTTAAAAATAATTTTTAATCAAATTGATTTCGAATTTCTAAAGAGTTGACACCTCTCGTCACAATTATTTTCGAAATAAAACTTTCCTAAACCTCTCTCGTTTGTTACTTATCATACTTATCATAACATTCATTATTATAACTTATATTAGTTATAAAAGGAACTTAGAACAAAACCCATGCACTTTATTTTATCGCATCTCTTCACTATTTGTTAACGAAGTTAATCCATTTGTTTAGCTGTAAAATTAAAAAAAAAAATATCGATATGTTCAGAAAGTATTCTTGATTTCCACAAAACTTCTATTGCCTTCCTAATATTGCTGGCACGATTTTTATTTTTTGGTCCGATGCAACTGATAATCATCATCATCAGCATCATCATCATAATGATCTTCGAAATTTTGAGTGCACACATTAACGGGACTTATGAAATGGTAAACAAAAGCATTGATTTGCTTGTGTATGAACCAGCGTCCGTCAATTATGTTTACATTGAAAGGGTCTGACGCCTGTTTGCATACTTTTAGATATTCATACATATGTACATACGCACACCACAAATTGATGGAGAACTTCGGCCAAATACTTAAAAAAAAATTTGAGCGCCAAATATTTATTTTATTTTGTATACGGGTATTTGTATGTATTTAGGTACGTATGTACTAGGGATGTTGCGAATGTGGAATGCGGATGCGGATGTTAATGATTTAAAAAAAACAATTAGAATCTAGCGTAATGGCGAGATCGTTGTTTAAACAGCGCTTACAGGCCAAACCAGATGTGTCAGGCATTTACGCATTTCTATGAATACCCATAATATGTTTAAAAACATTTTTATCAAAGACGATAAATAAGACATTTGACTAGTTTTGCTACGCGAAAGCTCCCACCACCATAGTCAAAAATATTGACTACAGTTTGGCATTTGGTTTGCCAGATATACGTTTTATCGGTACACTTCCACAACATTCGCATTCGCAAAAGTTCCGCATTGCTTATTGCGAATGCGAATATTCGTAACAACCCTGGTATGTACACATGTAATTTCAATGCAAGTGAACATGCGTAATGAAAATAAAACATTCAACACCTTTCTGTATAAACAGTTTACCATATGCATACATATTTGAATTTTTATTTTGCAGAATGAAACTTTGAATACCTATGTATACTCAATTGACGGTCACTTCCGGAGTAATGACCTCTTTATACGACTAATATTCTATACATAGTATATAAGAACAGATTGGGACGAGATTTTCTCTAATATATTCTATATCGATAGGAGAGTGACCTTTGGTACTTAGAATTTCTATAGGGTTGCCATCTGTCTAAAAACTTATAAGACCCGCACCGTTCGTGGGATTTCAAAAATGAGATGCCAAATGATAGGGACTGGCCTCTTGGTAAGCAATAGTATTTTCTTTTTTGAATAGGGTTGCCACCTGTTAATAAAATTACTATATTAAATCACAATAAGCTTTAAGACTTAGCCCCTAGATGTGCAATAATGAATTATTTTTTATTAGGCTTGTCACAATTACTGCGCCTAAAACACACTAGGTGTGTATAGTAACAAAAAGTCAGTACTAATTTTTAATGGAACCTGCAAATTTTTAATGGAAAAGTTACTGGGGAGCTTGAAATTCTTGCTAGAGAAATTTTTACTAGCAGAAATTAGCTAGCAGAAGAAGAAGAACAATAAATGTCAAATTTCGCAATTTGTTGAATTGGTTAAACGTAAACAAAAATTAAAATGAGTGGAAATCAAAATATGAATGATATACTGGTCTGGGTAAGTGATTTTATGTATAGCAAAGAGTTTAAAACTGATTCATAAATTGTAAAAATGTGTCAAAACAGTGTAACAAATGTACCCTTGCAAGGTTTTACTAGTTTTGTGTTCAACAACTTTTTCTGCTAGTTTTCTCTTCTTCTCAATTTTACGCTCTATTTTGAATTTACGCTCTCGCTGCAATTCTTTAGCGGAAAACTTACTATACTCAGCTATATTTGATTTGGCAATCATTGCAAACTCAAAGTCTCGAAATCGAATATCAGTTAAGGCTGCTTCGAAATTTAATTGTAAACATTTTTATTTTTCACTTGTTGCGATGGGTCTTTCCCACAGCCTTGTTCGCAACGTTGCCATTTCGCCAAAAATGCCACTTTGCGACGTTTTATGAATCGCACCATTGTTTCACCGTTGTCGCGTACTCAGTAGGCCTTAACAAAAACACTGACAATTGTCACCATACGAGAGCTTAAGATAAATTTGCGGCATAGCATTAGGTGCAGTAGTAAAGACAATAGTCAGCCGCTGAGTTTTGTCATTGGCGTGTCTAACCAGGATGCGGACAATAAGTAGTATATCAAGCAACATTGATGGGCCTTCAACAAGTACTGCTAAAAGTCTAATAAGAAACCTAAAAATAATTTTAGATTCCTCCAGCGAAAGCGAAGGCTCGAATGTAGAATCTGAAGGCATTAATTTTTTGTAAATTTTTTTTTTTTTTATAAAAAAACGCATATCAGAAGAAAGAAGGTTTGATTGTGTTTACGATATCAATTTTTTTTAAATCAATTGTAATTTTTATTTTTTTTTATTTTTTTATATAAAATGTATTTTTTCCTTTTAAATGGTTTTTCTCAAATTTTTACAAATAAAGTATACAAGTATGCATATCAGAAGAAAGGGGGTTTAATCACGATACTAATTTTTTAAAAACCAATTCAAAATTGTTTGAAATATAAGGTTTTTAATTTTTCGAAGACCAGACTTGTGACCCCTTATAGCAC